TGCGGCTCGGTGCTGAGGTCCGGCCCTGTCGGGACCCCCGGCTCCTGAAGAGGGCGGCCCGGTTCCTGCTGAGGAGCCCCGACCTGAGAGCCACTTTCACGGTGTTCCCCTTCTCCCAGGCTGTGGCGGAGAGATGGGCTGAAGGCACCGACAGCAGGAAACACCTGATGGGCTTCATCAAAGCAACAGAGATGCTGGAGACCCTCTGCATCAACATGTTCCTGCAGCCCTGGAAGAAGGAGATCAGGTCCCTTAAGGTTCGCCCTCAACAACGTGGAAGGGTCCTAAGATCTTTTCTAAAAGCCTCACTGATGGAGAACCCGAAGACACAATCTATGGGGTGAGATAACCACCAAAAAACAGGTGGGTGTCTGAGTTTGTAAATGGAAGTTAATAAACCCGAATAAATGTAAGATTTGTATTTGCTTCCTGTTGTCAGCCTAAACAAACACGAGAAGTTGAGAAGTAAGCATCACGACAACCATCACCAAGACTTCTATAACGCGGTTTTACTGGCTTCGGTTATAAACACGGACACGACAGTGACTTCAGCAGGTTTGCCGGATGTAACCGACTCGCGTTTTCCAGCCCAAAACATTTTCATAAACTGCCTGGATATACGAAATCTCGCCCAAAGACTTTGGGGGTCAAAAGTCAAAAGTCTATTGATCTCTTAGGCCATAAATCTAGAGAAAAATTTTTTTTACCCATAGACGGCCATCCTAAACTGCCAGCTTGGGAAACATCCCAACCTAGCAACAATGCGTAAGACAGGAAACATTAGCCTTTAGATGCAAAACCCCATCATGCACAGCAACATATTTGTGCATAATGTTCGAACATAAATTTGCCAAATATAACATGAACATTGTAGTTTGGTTTAATGGAAGCATTTTAGTTTTATCATAATTTAGTTAGTTGCAATGATTTTAAAGTTTGAAGAAATGGAAAACTAAACCATATGCCAACCGTGACAAGAAAGGGCTATATATACTGCATGCATCATTCAGGTAGTTAACATTGTATTACTTCTTGAGCTCCTTGAGTTATTCACTGTCACAGGTAGGTGCTTGGGCCGGAGATTAAGTGTTGCGACTGGTTTTGCCCACCGGGCAAATGCCTGTTATGACAGATTACCAGTCCGAGCCCGTTTATGAGTACAAACTATAACCCCTGATAAAGCTGTTTCACTCCTCACCAGTTGGTGGCAGTAAAACGCCTGAAAGGTGTTCACTAACCTCATGAAACAAGAAGATGAAAACACGAAAACTATTGGATGTTATTGCAAGTGTATGATGGCGTGTTAGGGCATTTCAAAAATGAAAAAAAAAAATTAAAATTTTAGAGTTTAAAGTGGCGTTTTTACGAGAATAAACACAGAAATTAATGGGTAAAAACACACTGATTTATGTAGGCTGACCAGACGTTCTCCTTTTCCCGGGCATGTCCTACTTTTCAGACCTAAAAAAATATCCGGGGGGAATTTCAAAATTGTCTGAGATTTTGGTCGACTACAGTGTGGCACGTAGTCGAAACAGGGAGCCAATAGCCTGGACACCTGCAGCCCTGTGCTCCCCCCCGCCTGTTTTACTGGTCCCCAGCCCCCCTTCACCGGCTAAGTATGGGCGGCTCATGGCTCTCTGCCAAAAGTACCCTCCTTCTCAGAAACCCAAATCTGGTCACCCTAGATTTACGAAATTCAAACATACAAATATAAAAGAAAAAGGAACAAATTTAGGAGTAAAAAAGTAGTAAATTTGCAGGATTTAAACATGTATATTTGCGGAACAATGTGCGATTATAATTTTTCTTACAACGGGCTACATAAAGCTCATGCCCATGCATCATTAATGGAGGCTCTAGCAATGGAAGGAGACTGGACAATGGCTTCCTCATGGAAGTGTTTTAAGTAAAAGTGAACACAATAATTAGCACCTTTATTATCTCGTAAATTTTCATGTTTTTATTCTTGTAAATTTGACTTTTTATTCTTGTAGATTTCCTACTTGTGTCCTTCTAAATTTGCATGTTTATAATCTCGTAAATTCTGGGGTTTTTAATAGTAAATTTGCGTGTTTATTCTTGTTGATATGCCACTTTAAACTCAAAAATTTACATTCCATTTTTTTTCCATCTTCGAATGGCCCTAATTTACTGTCATACGCAGACACTGACGACAACATTTCAGCCAAAGTATAATGTTTGACGTTTCGTTTTCGTCCTCTTCTTCTTGTGTAATGTGTAGTATAACAGCATTATCTCTGCAAGGCGTTCTCAGGAATTTGATTCATTAATTTCTATTGAGCTACATCGACACATTTAGACACCTATGCAAATGTTTGTGTTAGTTATCTTTACCCATACTATGAATGCAAATCAAAAACCTCACACATACATTTAATATTCGCTCCAAAATTTTACATTTTATTCTTAATGTCTAAACTTTTCACATATTAGATGTGTATGTAGAAGTTGACAAGGAATAAATGCAAATCTTATATTTATACACACTGACCTACATTTACAGATTCAGACACTTTTTATTGACAGTAATCTCACCCCATAGAACTTTGGGATCAAATCCAAACAGTTGGTTAAACTGTTAGCCCCATTTACTGAGATACCTTGAAGTGAAATTCATTGAACCAGACTGTCCATCATTTCTACTTCCTATTCTTCATTCTTTCTCTTTTCCACCAAATAGATTATTGTATTTACATTTTGTGGAATCAATTTCAGGGTCCGTTTCTGTGGTTCTGATCCAGTCAGAGTGCAGGAGGCCCTGAAATCTCATCCTGACTCTGCAGAACTTCATAAGAATATGATCAGCTCTTTTTTTTTAAAGGCAGCCTGGTGGATCATATTAAAACAGTTTTTTTTCTGTCTGTTGGGTGTAGTGCAGAGCAGATCCCTACTGATTCTGTTAGGGTTGGATGGTTCTGGTTGAGCTCAAACTGTTTTCTACCACGCTGTTAACTGTACAGGTCTGTGTTTTTCTTCCAGACGTTTACAGGAGCCTTTGTTTACTGTCTGCTGCCGGTTCTCAGCTGTTCCACCATTCAGGCCATCTTGGCCTCCATTGGCTACCTGCCCAACAGCGACGCCGAGCAGAGGTGAGAACCCTGCAGAACTTCAGACTGCAGGCAGTGATACCGATGTGACAGACCCCTGATCCCCTAAAAATACAAAGAATTACTTTATATTTATGTACGCATTTATAAAATGCGTACATAAATATAGTAATTATTTTCAGTAATTATTTTCAGTGTTTGATCAATTTATTTTCTTAAATATCATTCCATGGTTTAATGCAGTATATATTTAATTATTGAATGGTACAGTTAATGATCTAATTAGTCATTCTATTATCTAATGGTATTTCTTATGATAAAATGAATTTCTGAAGTATAAAAAAGAGTCATTTCGGCTGAAAATGTAGATTTAATGCTGTAGATGATGAAGGGGAGCACATTGACCTCCAGTCCGATCTTCTTTTCATTTAGTCTCTGTGTTTTATTTGCTGCTGCTTTTAAACCAGGACTCGCTTAGAGTTTTCTTAAACTTGATGGGACTGTCCTTAATAAATAAAAAGCAGGTGGACATCAGTCCCATCTTTTAGCTACAACCTTTCTAGCTCCTTGTTTGCTCACGTCTTCCTCTTTGTTCCTGATTGTCTCTTTCTTAACATTTGGTTTAGGCTCCTCCTCGTCTAAGGTTTCATTTAATCACAATAGCTGCTTTGCTTCAAACAGATGAATTGATTTTATTGATTTTTATTAGAATTGAATTTTTGGGAATCGGGATCTTTTTCCAGCCTTGTCCGCTTTGGGCTTCCATAGCTTAGAGTAACATCACTTCACCAATTTCTGTTGCAAACCCATAAGAGTTATGTGTATATACCCATAACTGTTGAACTAGTTCACTTTGTGATATCAGAAGCCTTAAATATGTCTTTGAAAGTAATTCATGTCATTTGTCATATATTTTTTATCATGAAACTTTAAGAAGAAAAAAAATTGGATTAGATTTGGAAGGAACAAAAGTTCAGATTGAATTTTTGAGACATCCAGACTGGGCATGTAGATCTGTTATCCATTGCTAATGTCTCCAGTCAAACAAAACGCAGGAAACTTAATCGTTTATCGTCAGATATCAGTTGCTTTCTTCTCTGCTGTGATGTTGTGGCTGATCAGGAAAGGGAAACCAGCTTAGATGGATGTTCCTGGATTTAGCAAAGTGGTCCTGATATCTGCTGATGAAGGGAAACTTCGCTCTGTTTGGATTCATTATTGTCAAATGTCTTCAGAAAAATAAGTAGTTATTGAAATGATCCATTTTATCTATGAAGAGACATTTCTTCACTCTAATCTATACTGTTTGTAAAACAAAGTCACAAAAAATGATCTAAGCTTATACTACAAAATATATCTATTCCATACTTTGATCAAGATATTATGAGGACTCTGTTCCAAAAATAACTTTACCCTCTTAGTATTGACACTGTTGTTCTTAGACTTGTTTTACTCAACTACACTTTTCTTAGGGGTTTTAAATCTAGTTAATAATAAAAAGTTTAACGCTGTGTTTCAGTGAGTTCACACTGAGTGCTGGTCCCGATGCGGACCGAGCTTTGCTGCTGGGATTCGAACTGCTGCTGGCCAGAGTGGAATGTTCTCATCTGCTGGACCTACTGGTGGAGCACCAACTGGGACCACAGGTCAGATCGGCAACGCTCCACTTTTCATGTGTTCCTCATTCTAGTGTATGGGATGTTCTAGGGGCCAATGGGGGCCATTGCCCCTGTAGATCATGTCCTGGCCCCTGTACTGAAGACATAATACTCAAAGAAGTTCTAATGATGATATGCGCTGAAACAGACATGGTTACTGATCGGTCCTTTGGATCTTTTTCATTTTTTTTTTGTTACAAATTCTGTTTGACTAATTATATATTATAAAAACAATAAGGTGATCATTTCAGTGGGATTAAGATAGGATCACAGTTTTCATCTGCTAAATGTTTTAAAACAAATAAAAAAATTTATTCTAATTCAGATTTAATAGAAAACAGTAATTTTAACTTGAATTAAGTCAAACATATGTACAATTCCTAAATTATGAATCTATATTGACCTAATAAGAAATAGAATTTTAATTAAACCTAACTGAATGGACATTTCACTTGCACATGCAGCAATCTTAATATATTTGAATCCCTTGCCCTGTTTTTTATTTCATTCTTTTTGGCTCCCCCATGAAAACAAGCTGGCCCCCTGGTATATTCGGTCTAGAACCACCACTGTTCTAGTGGGTGAAAAGTAATCGCTTAGTGTCTGCATTATATGCTTTTATTTTGTCCCTAATTTTTTTGTTTTTGCTGATTGTCTGATTGAAATTATAACTTTCATAAAAAGGATTTCAGAGCTACACAACTTTAAAAAGAAAAAAAAACAAGACAACTTAGTCCAGAACCAATGAACGTCTGAAGACATGATGCACTGCTGGTGTGCTAATGCTTCTCATGGTTCTTGGGAATCAGATTTACGCATGTTCAGGAAATGGTGAATAAAAAAAATGTGACTTTAGTATTTATAAAAAACTGATCAGTTGCATCATTTACTTTAAAACATTAAAATCTTTTGAATGAATTAATCAAAATGATCACATTAAAGTTCTGGTCTGTGAAATTTTAAATACAAGTTAGTAAATGTGAAATACTTAAAGATTTGTTTTTATTTCTTGTTTTCAGTCTTTAGATTCTTCTGCCAACAAATATTTCATCTTTGAGAAAATTTAGAATTTATAAATGCAAGATACAACTTTACAGCACTGCACCTTTATGCTAGGATTCAGCATTCACACACAGGGATCTGAAAAATCAGGAATGATGTGCAGTGATCTGAAATTATGCATAAAAATCCCACATTTCTAAGAACAAATCTACACACTCTGGTATAATGTTTTAAGGCGTGGGCACTATATGCTGTGGTTCCTTTATGTTTGTTGGTATGCAAACAACTTTCAGGTGCATTCCTGCCACAAACTGGTAAGGAATGCATCATCTTCATCCAAAGATTTAATGTTTGATCTGTCTTTTTGTTTATCGCCGCCTTCTTCCTGTTTGCCGACTGCTTCCTATTTGTAACTTGACAGGGTCTTGTTCTGGGCTCTCTGAGGTTTAGGCTAGAAAGCCCTGACCTCTGTCCAGCTAACGGGTGATGAAGAGGTCACTGATGCACAGGTATCAGCCAATGCAGGGAACCACAGGCTGAAGAAGTGTTCAAATGGTCATGTTATGCCTGGTTGGTGGATCTACAAATGGCGATCAGTCCAGCTCCTGTGTATTGTCCTTGAACTGTGCAATGTCCCAATTCAGGTTTTAAGGGTTCTTCTCCATTCTTTCTTTGACTCTGTTGGCTGAGTGGAGTCAGTTCACCAGAGTTTTAACTCTCCATCTAGTCAAAGCAGAAGCAGAAGATAAAATCCTGCCTCCATCTGCTCCTTGTTAAAAATGCAGACCTTCCAAATGGCTGCAGATCTTCTGTGTTCATACCTGAAACTAGCCTTGCATTGTTGCTCTGATGGCTGAGCTGCTGCACGGGGGTAAAGCGGCTAAAGGACAATACTCCCTTAACAGGATAGCACCATATTTATAGACACCAAAGTCATCTTATAAAGGACTGACCAACGCCTGCAATATATATATAATATATTTGTAGGTCCAGAACTGACTGATCTGATCTAATGCTAATCCTGCAGGAATGGTTAGATGTTCTCCAGAGAGGAAAGCAGCCTGTAAAGTTGATAGATCCCTCAGAAAAGCAAGCGATACTAGAGGAAAGGAGAGACAACGATGCTGAGAAGGAGGATTTCGATAAGAAATCGATAGGACTGGAACTAAGAAAATATTCTATCCTGACGGTTTTCAAGTTCTAAAAGGGCTTCAGCATGGCCACAAAACACTGTCCTGCTCTAAATGTGGTTTCTTTCTTCCAGGAAGCTTTGCGTTTAGAGGCCAGGCCTCCCTCAGTCCCCCAGCCTAAGCCTCGCCGGTATAGCCTCAGCAACATGGACCATTCGGTTATGGATCTGCAGAGGACGTACCCGGACCTGGCCTTCAGGGGTCGCCCTCTGCTCGCAGAGCAACCTCAGAAAGCTGCTGTGGCCGACTGTGTAGCTGATGGTACCACTGAGCATTTAAAAACAAAGCTGATGGAGAATAAAGCACTGACTGGATGTGACGGTTATAAGGACAGAACCAGTGCGGGGGTCAGTGACCCATCAGAAACCAGCTTTAGGAACTCTGACGAATCCAGATTGGATGATGATCACCTCAGTGGTCCTCAAGCCATTTCCCTTCATATCACACTGAGGAAAGGACCCAAAGTGGAGCCGAGCTTGGATCTAGGAAAGATGCCCCCCCTCACAGAGGCGTCTGATGGAAAGCAGAAATCAGGTAAGAAAAATAGTTGTTTCAGATCTTCATGAAAACCCTTTGTTTTATAGGAAGCTCCACTGTTACTGCTTGCATGCTCGGTGTGAGGCGTGACTGCAACTAACAAATATTTTGCAAATCGATTATTTTTTGGATTCATCGATTAATCATTGGATCGCCAAAGATTCTTTAAAGACTTTTTACGAAATCAAACCAGGTGAAACTAAAATACTTTTCCAATTGTGGTGTTCTGGATAGACCATGTTGATAGAGGAAATGTAATATCTTAGCTTAAATGCAAAATGTTTACATTTTTTTTTTTTTTTTTTACAATTTTGGCACATTTTCCTGCTCTTTCAGCTAAAGGCATGTTTTAGAGTCTCTATAACCCAGAATATTACCAGAAGATTATGAATGTATTAAATAACTAGAACTGGAAATGATAGAAAATGTAAATGTCATTCAAATCAAGGGATAATCAATTATCAGTTGAATAATAATGTAATTTGTTTACTGACCAGGGTTTTTGGTCTCTTCCATAAAGGGTTGTCTTTCACCAATTTAGTAATTGAGACTATGGCTATCGGCAAAGTTATTAATCACCAACCAAATAAATGTCCCTGTTCATTCAGATGCTACTGAAAGAAAAGTGAATCCAGCCTGAGTGATATATCGTTCACTGCATAGAATAAAGACAAAAGAATGAGAGTTAAAATACAATGCTACCTTTATTAACTACAGTCACAAAGTATTATATCTAATAACTACGCAGACACTAAACACTACTGAAAATAAACAGAAATAAACAAAAGGGGACGAGGGGTTTAGACCTAAGTCTGAGGAAAAAGGCTTAATGCATTGAAAGTGTCCCTTAAAATAGCAGAAGATAAATGTGAATAAACTCTGAAGCAGAGATGTTAAATGCGGTCAGAACAGTGCAGTTTCATTCAGATTTATGGTGAAAAATGAATGACTCAGAAACGCATTTAACTATGAAAGAGAAATGGGTTAGCTTGGCAGGCCCCAGGGGGTTCCACAATGTGGAACCAAACTACATTTCAGAGTGGCCTTTTATTGTGGGCAGTCTAAAGCACATCTGTGCACTAATCGTGGTGTCTAATCAGCATCTTGATATGCCACACCTGTGAGGTGGGATGGATTATCTCAGCAAAGTTTTAGATCTTTGCGTTAATCTCATAAGAAATGGGAGCAAAATCAAAAATGTTGTTTACATTTTTGTTGAGGTTATCTATAAGGTGTTAAGCCGGTTACGATTTCTTGCCCTTTTTGGACAGATTTTCCAGTTGTGTGAGAATTTGTCGATCGGGCTGACTTTCAGCCTGATCGTGCATCGTATAGTATACGGGGGGTAAAGAGGGGCGATCAGCCTCCAACGACCACCTCGATTCAGGAATCGTAAGGTCTGGAGAAAATCAAACATGTTTGAAATTCAGTTAGCCGTTGTGGGCAAATCGCTTTGTGCACAGGCGCAGACGAGGATTCTTCTTTCTCTCAGAGGCAAACACAGAAGCATGGCGGGGGTGCGAGTGAAATGGAGTTCTTTCTGTCAAACTGACAGACCGTAGTAGCCACGTTTGCTCAGCCATGTCTTTTTCCAAATACGTCGTCACCTTTTCTTTTTAGGGCTTTCAGCACAAAATTGCCAAGGCAGAGCGTTTCACTCTAGTGAGCTTCATATTCCTCTTCTACTCGCTTGGCTTCCAAATTGACGAGTCCGCTTAGTGCCATCTCACTGCGGAGCTGAATCCAACGTGGTTTTTAGACGTACAGTGTTAGCAGGTAGATCGCATCAGAGCGTCACAGTGTGAGAACAAACATCGTGAGCGGTGAATGTTTAAACCCATGAGGTTTCGTCGTACAGTGTGAGCTGTAGCTGCGTACAAGGATTGAAAATATCTCACAGTGTACGCCCTCGGTTGGCCAACCGATAAGGGGTTGTTCAACCAATGAGGTCTCAAGCAACTAATGAGGTTTTGCCAACCAATTAGGCAACCAAAAGGTGAAGTCAACTCCTTTCCCCAATGGAAGCAGTGATCCGATTTAAGAACCAGCAGGGAAACTCTCATAGACAGATGAATTAACAGATAATGAATGAAATGTTATTTAAACTAATAATTAGATTGCAGGCAGTAACAGGAGTACAGTAGTGAACCAGACCATCGCTGTGGGGAGGGGAAGAAGTTCAATGGCTGCCCTCTGCAGTGTTTTTCTGTCACAGAGGAACTGAAAAGGAGAAGAGGTCCTGAAAAAGGTTACTAAAAGTGGTCGAGCAGGCAGGTTGTTAGGAAATGCTGGTATTTCTTTACCACCAAAGTCGGCACAAGTACCAAAGTATCAATATAAAAATGAGCATTTTGAACAAAGCCAAATGAATATGATGGTAGTGAAGGCTGCCTTTTACCTTTTAGGTCAACTGCAGACAAACGCTAAATTAAAAAAGGCAAAGAGTTCAGTTCAGTTTTTTTGTCCCATTATGGGCAATTTTTGTGCAGTAGGAGTACACCTTTCACACACGTTCACATTTCACAAATCACAGATAAAAAATAAAAGAAGTACAAGAGACACATATTTAAAAAGATAAAAGTAAGGTGGATAAAAGAGACAGAAATGTAAAAAGTAAATAAATATGTGCAAGTGAGAGCATAGGCCTGAATACATGCAACATATGGCTATCTGCTTTTCCTGGTAGAGTTTAGCAGCTGAAGAGCAGAGGGAATAAAAGAGTGTTTGTATCTGTTGGTCCGAACTGGAGCTGAAATAGTACCGACTTATTTTCCTGTTAAATCTACAGCCAGAGATGATGTGACGGCTGATCCATCGGAGTCTCCATCCTTCAGCTCGATTGATGAAGAGCAACAGCTGAGGGAGCTAGCAGAGAGGATGGGACAGGGAGCGACAGAGGTGAAGGGAAAAACCACTGGCCCAACGGAGACGGGAACATGTGTGGAAGAACAAAACCAGGAGAACAAACGGTGAAAGAGGATCGGCAAAGAAAGTCTAAGGCCTAAAGTGAAATTTTTTTCCTGAAATATTGATCCATCTCTTGGTTTCCTTTTCCTAAACTTTGGCTTGGTGTTAAAGCAGAATGACGGGACGTTTTTTCTCAGGCCACTGGAGCCGACCAATTAGATCAATCTGGGCTTTGAGAAGAATGAAACGTTGAGATTAACATTTATTTTCATGCTAATTGTCTTATGCTAGGAGGCTTTCATTATTTCAGTAACTTTTTGCTAAAATGATGTCATTGACACAATAAAAGGGACCTTTTTTTTTTTTTTAATTATGGTTTATTATGGTGGTCTGCACTGAGATTGGGATTAAAGACCGGTGGTCCTGCTGACATCCAGATACAAACCACCTAATTAAAGGGCACTGTTTCTGCTTTTCACTGACTTAAAGGTTGACGCTCTTCAAAACAAAACTGAATATAAGACGAAGATGAGTAAATGCAACCACTTTTCAGAGTGGGCTTTTCTTCAGAGACCGAGGACTTACTGACTTTGAGTATAGGGGTTGATGGCTGCTTCAACGCCTGATAGAAAACCCCAAACCGAGTCTAAATATATTAAAATTAATCACCTTGATTGAAGGTAGGGGGGTATAAATGAGAATTGGAGGAAAGGGAAGGCTGTTGTTGCTATGGCAACACAGTGACACCCCATGTGTCTGGCTGTGCCGCAAGGTGACATAAAATTAAGCATTTGCCCCTTTCTTAAAAATGTATACGGTCAGATAAAACTATTTCATAGAGGTTTCTTGTCAGTGTGACGAAGATGCAGGATCCCAGCAGACCTCTGCTACTAGTTTGACGTTACACCTGCTGCCACATTCCAGATTATTTAAGGCCTGAATGGTCCACTCAGCCTACCTGCTGCGTGGTTTGGGACGGCCCTTAATGTGGAGGGCCCACTGCAGCCACATGCACATGGATGGTTACTGCTTAGGGAAGGTTTAGGGGTACGTTTGGGATTGGATCTTTGTCCTGCTTTTACTTGTTGACTCTTCAGCAATCCCTCACACCGCGCATCCAGAGACAGTGGAACCAGGCTCAGTGTGAGCGGCCATCTGCAGGGGCCGACTGGGGTTCAAGGGGACAGAAGCAGAGATACAAAAGGTTAACTAGATCCAAAGGTGGCCCTGTCCAGGACAAAATAATATTCACAATAAAAACATTTTACCTCCCTAGGGTCCCTGGATTATTTAAGCTGCCACATTGCTCCATTCACATGAGGTGCACTATAGCCACAGCTGCTCTGGGCGCGGAGGAAAAACTGCCGTACTTTAGCCCTCTGACTGCCAACAGCAGGCGAGGCAGCTGAAGTCCTACCGAAGACGAGAGAAGAATGGAGAACCCCGACCTCCCGAGTGACCATCACCCACAGCTGTGTTTGATTTCAGAGGCCGCGTCCTCCAAGGACTCCTACCTGGACTGGGTCCTTGCAAGTCCATGAAAACAAGGAGGCTGGAAGGTTTGGCTATGGATCCAAACAGATCCAGCTTTCTCTGGCTTTCACCAATGTATGCTCTGTTGCCTAGCAACCATTACAGTTGACACTTAAAGCAGGAACTGATGTTCTGAGTGCTGATAACATTTCTGAAGAGCTTCAGCAGCAGTGCCGTTGGATTTATAGTCCCCACACTGGAGTGATATCTGGAAGCTGAGATTAAATTGCAGCCAAACCCATTTACACGGGGACACATAAAACGTTTCAATAAAACAGACATTAGCCACCACGTATTTGACTTGATAACTATTTTAATTAATTTAGACAGAACTAGTCAAACTTGGATTATATTTGTGGCGTTTACGTCTCAAGTAACGCTCGCTGGACGACAGTATTTTCTAGCGAAAAATAGTTTATTGAACACAGACACGACCGACTGATGACGTAGCACTTACAGACTGCTTCACTGACAGACGTACATCACGCGCTGCGTGCATAGAACTCAAAGCTGCGCCACATATGCGCAGTATGCAATATTATGCACTTAAACTTAGACTCTACATGACATCTCCCCCCCCCCTTTCAAGTATAGTAGGCATTCACTATACAAACATAAACTGTTAGCCGAACTTTAAACTGTATGCTTAATCTTGTACACCCACTTCACCTTAGCCATTATATAATAAACAAAACCTTCCACAGGCCCAACAAAAAAAAAAACACATTCTTATAAGGTTTCTTCTGTTTTTTTTTTTGTTTTTTTTTTGTCTTTGTCTTTTTTTTTCAGAACAGTTAACTAAGGGTGTGGGTGGACTTACCACAGTTCCTTGAGATGAGAAGGGATTTATTCTGCCCTTTTGTTCATTATCTCAACTAAGTGGCATACCTGGGGTTTGGTTTAACGATCCGACCAAACCTGGTGACGACTGGCGTAGGGTGTTTAGGAGAACCAGGGATGTCAGCAGGAGCGTCGGCGGTGGTCAAGCCCTGCTCTGCTGGCTCACGCTGTCCATCTTGATCCGTCGGCTGATGAACATCCATCTGTCGTGGTGATGACAGCTCCTGGTTGATCGGCCTGATGTGGCGCCGGTTCCGTCGTGGGGTGTCGCCTCTCTCCATCTCCAGTGTGAAGGAACGCGGCGCAGCCTCCTGCCGCTGCATGGTCGCTGCCGTTGTCCAAGCCTTTTCTCCGTCGATCTTCAATCTGACTTTATCGCCGATGGAGAGTGGTGGTAGAGGCTTGGCGGAGTACCTGCGGTTGTAGTACTTCTCATAGGACTGTTTCGCTTTTGCGTCATTTTCCTTGACAGTCTCTGGATTAGGCCACATTGGCCGCAGGCTCTCTTTGAGTACGGGGAGCGTTGTGCGGATTTCTCGGCCCATTAGCAACTTGGCTGGACTTTGCCTAGTCGGCTCTGTTGGTGTTGAGCGATAACTCAGGAGAGCTAGGTGAGGGTTATCTTGTTTGAGAATCCACTTCGCCGTCTTCACAGCTCGTTCGGCCATGCCGTTGGATTGTGGGAAGTGAGGGCTTGAAGTAACGTGCTGGAAGTCGTACTCAGCTGTAAAGTTTCTGAACTGCTCGGCTGAGAACTGAGGACCGTTATCTGTCATAAGCTCCTCTGGTATCCCGTAGCGTGTGAAGATGCTTTTCAGCTTTTGTATGACGGTTTCTGAGTTTGTCTTTGGTAAGTCTGGGATCTCGAGCCATCTGAAAAATAGTCTATCACGATCAAGTAGTGACGACCTTTGAACTCGCACAGGTCTGCTGCGAGCTTCTGCCATGGTAGGTCTGGCAATGGTGTGGAGATCAACGGTTCTCTACTTTGGCTCGGTCTGTTGATGTTGCAATGCTTACATGACATCACAAGCTTCTTCACGTCACTGGCGATGCCCGGCCACCACACAGCGCCGTTGTACCGTTCTCGGCACTTGGTAAGGCCTTGGTGGCCCTCATGAATCCTCTGCAACATAAAGTCTCTCATACTGCAAGGGATCACAATCTGCTTACCACGTCGCAGCAATCCATTGGCCTCACTAAGTGAGCCCCGGTCTTTGAAGTAGGCGCTTGCTCTGACAGCTACGCTCTTCGAGTGTTCCGGCCACCCCTTTTGGACATACTTAAGGACCCACTGGAGCTCGGCATCCGTTCTTGTCTGGTCCTTTATCTGCTGGATGATCGGCTTCCTCACCCTCAGGTCGTCTTCCACCGAGTCCATGTACGCTTTCACCTCCACTTCTAGGTCACCTAGGTCGGTCTCCGCCATTGGCTGCCTAGATAGGGCGTCTGCGACGACTAGGTGTTTGCCTGGAACATATTCTGCGACTGGGTTAAACTTCATTAACCTGATAAGCAGGCGCTGACAGCGAATTGGTGTGGTGTCGAGGTCTTTCGAGTTGATTAGAGTCACCAGTGCCTTGTGGTCTGTAAGTAGCTTGTATCTTTCTAAGCCGCAAAGATACTGATAGAAACGCTCAGAGGCCCACACTCCTGCGAGACACTCCTTTTCTATCTGATCGTATCTCTTCTCGGCATCAGTCAACGTACGCGAACAGAACGCAACAGGTTTCAGGGCCCCATCATGGCTCTGTAGGAGGACTCCTCCGAGCCCATAACTGCTTGCGTCTGCACAGACGACGGTTGGCTTTGCCGGATCAAAGAACTCCAAGACTGGTGCTGTTGAGATCAGCCGTTTCACTTCGGTGAACGCTCTGTCTTGCTGGGGGCCCCAGCACCAATCCCGCTCAGTCTTGAGTAGCTCGTTGAGCGGCTGTAACACTGTGGAGAGGTTTGGTAGGTAACGGCCTAAGTAGTTCACCATACCAAGTAGCCGTCTCAGCTCACTCACGTTCTGCGTTGGTTCCATGGATGTTATGGCTTTGACCCTCTCTTGGTTAGGGGCTATGCCATCCTTGGTCACGACTTGTCCCAGGAAGTTCAGCTCCGGTCGGCTAAGCCTGCATTTGTCCTTGTTTAAACGTAGACCTGCAGCGGTGATGGTCTCCATTACTCGCTTTAGCCTCTGGTCGTGAATTTCCTGTGTTTCTCCGCAGACCAAAATGTCGTCCATGTACACGACTGTCCCTTCATGCCCTTGCAGTAGTTCCGACATCTTTCGCTGAAAGATCTCGGGCACCGATGTAATCCCAAACGGTAGCCGCTTAAAGCAGTATCTGCCTAGGGGCGTGATGAAGGTGGTTAGACGTGCACTGTCCTCCTCCAGAGGGATTTGCCAGAACCCGCTCTCGGCGTCTAAGCTGGAGAACACGGTACTCTTTGCTAGCTTGGGCATGATGTCATCCAAGGTAGGTAAAATAAACTTTTCACGTTTCACATTTTTGTTAAGCTTTTTCAGGTCTACGCAAATTCTTATTTTTCCGTTCTTTTTCATGACAGGTACCATAGGCGCGCACCATTCAGTCGGATCAGTAACCTTTTCTATTATGCCCATAGATTCCATTCTTTTTAACTCCTCTTCGACTCTGGGGAGTAGTAGAATTGGTACTCGCCGTGGCGTGGCAATGCTGTATGGCTCTGCGCCTTCTTTAAGTGTGATTTTCACTGGCGCTCCTTTCAGTGTCCCTAAGCCACTGAATGTGCTGATCTCATCTATGCGCTTAATTAGGCCCAGTCTGGTTGCCACAGTTCTGCTCAGGAGATTGTCGCCATCTGTTTTGACTACAATTACTCTGAAGCAGCAATTTCGCAGTTGCCCGCTGATATTAGCCTTTAATTTAGCTAAAAACTGGCCCCGTGTGGCCACCGTACCCCCTGGGCTCTGGAGGGTGTTCTTCACTTCACTGAGCTTGGGCTTGCTCCGTAGTGTTTCGTATGTGGCTTCAGACATAATTGAGGTGTCCGCTCCGGAATCAATTTTAAATGACACTGGCGTATCTGCTACATCTAGACTGGTGCGCCATGGTGGCTCATCCTCTGCTAGTGGTGCATCCGTTTGTTTTAGCTCCACTGAGCCCAGGAACACTGTCTCATCATCACCAGCTTCGGTAACCTCTTGTACAGTTTTTGAGTAACAAACAGCTGCAAAGTGCCCAATTTTGTTACACTTCATGCACTTTTTGCCTTTTGCACTGCACTGCTTGGCCTCCGTATGATTACGCCCGCATCTCGTGCATGCTCCTCGTTTTGTCTTTTTGTTTCCCTTCGGCATGTTGTGGAATTTCTTATATTCGGTTTTCCTCACGGATTTTACATTGTCCACGTGCTCTGCGCCGTGCCCCCTGTCTGTATTCTGTAACTTAATCAACTCACAATGCCTGGCTGTTTCAATGGCAGTCTTCAGTGTTAAATCACTTTTCATTTGCAGTCTTTGTGACACTTGTTTTTCCCGAATTCCAATCACTATGAGGTCCTGCATTTGTTCCTCTTTCAGTGCTCCAAAGTCACAGTTTTCAGCTAGCTCATACAGTTGCCTTACGAATGCTTCCACGCTCTCGCCTGGTTGTTGAGCTCTTGAGAGGAACTTGGCGCGTTCATAAATCACGTTTCGTTTCGGGATGAAATGTTCGTCGAATTTAGCCATTACAATGTCGTAAACGTCAGCATCTGCTGCATTAGTAAACGTGAAAGCCTTGAATATGTGCTCTGCCTCCGCTCCCATGGAATAGATCAATGCATTTACCTGCACATTTTCCTCTTCCTCCGCAAGCAGTGAAGCTATGCGGTACCTGCTGAATCGTAGCTTCCAGTCAGGCCACGCTTCGGGCTTAGAGAAGTCGAACTGCTCCGGTGGGTTAAACTTTGCCATGGCGATACACACTTCGTTTTTTTTTTGTTTTTTTTTCACGTCCGACGTTACACAGCTCCAATCCAGTTGTCTTCTGACACCATGTGGCGTTTACGTCTCAAGTAATGCTCGCTGGACGACAGTATTTTCTAGCGAAAAATAGTTTATTGAACACAGACACGACCGACTGATGACGTAGCACGTACAGACTGCTTCACTGACTGACGTACATCACGCGCTGCGTGCATAGAACTCAAAGCTGCGCCACATATGCGCAGTATGCAATATTATGCACTTAAACTTAGACTCTACATGACAATATTAAACTGCACTTCCAATGTTCACCACTGTTTGGCACCATTTTTTCCCCTCTGAGCAGCCCGCTTGCTTGGACTCGCAATGAATCATGGGATACCCAAGGCTACAGAGGATACAGCGGACCTGTCCTTCAAAGCTGGAAAAAAGGATTTGTCAGCTGCATAAAAAGGAGTCTTCCAATCCTCGCTATGACATCATCGGTCGACGAATCTGGCCAGGAGTCAGCTGCTCGATTCAAACTTAGGACTTGTTATAAAGCAGAACCCAAACATGGTGACAGATATGGAGAACGGATCACTTTCTTTTTGCTTTTTAAGATATTTTATTAATAAAAAACAGTTTTCAGAGGTGGAATGTCAGTGGGAGGTTTTCCATAGAGATTACTGAAAACAACACATTTCAAAAATGGAAAGAAAAAATGTTTTAGACTAAAATGTAAGTAAAAATTCAAACAATACTGTTTGCTGTTTTGATTATTTTTCCAAATTTCTGCTTTCATCGTTTTGTGGAAGGCTCAGTTTTAGGAACAACATTCTTTTTTTTTTTTTTTTTACTATCCTTGTAGTTTAACTGTGAGAAGATGCAATTCATAAAACTCAGCCACCTGCCCCCCAAAAATGGTAGAATACAGCAGGTTAACTTCAACAGAAACACTTTGGAAAAAGAATCTTTAGCTCTCAGCAGAACAGAATGTCTGTTAATGACTGTGGAGCCAATGTCCCTGTAGAGTTAGTTGAGGTTTTCGAGTGAAGCAGCATTTTGGAACAAAAATCAACAAATCTAAACATTCCTTTAACTCTGCAGAGAAGCTTGTGTCAGATGAAACTCGGAGCTTGAGGGAAAGTAATGAATAAGGTTGCTCTTAGCTCTGGTGGAGTAGCTGTTAGGTAAGTTCTCACCTGGAAGCTTAACAATAAAATACCCGATTCCACGGCCAAACTGAAGGGATTTATCGGTGAACTGATAACGGCTCGTCTTTAAACCGCATAAAGATAACATTGGAAACTGCTCTCTATCAAACAGGACGAGCGACTAATTTCTAGGCAGGATTGACTTCAATTCTTAACGGTAGATTTGTTTCCTCGCTGAATGAATCTGATTAAAATGGACTTTTTCTATTTTTCAGACATCATTAATCGAGGCGCTCAGCAAAGGTACGGACAGAGTAGCCATGCTGATTGGTCCAAAACCATCCAGTGCAGAAAATAATCTAATTCATGGGTTGATGATGAAGCAGCTTAGGGTTTAGAACCAATAAATAGATCTGGGTTTCAGAGAAGGTGAGGCAGCATTTGTCGCAGCATCAGGAGCTGCTGGTTGCAAGGATCCTCTCTCGGTGCTCCTCATACTTGTGGAGCATCTTCTGGAGGTCGTGGTCTGCAGGGATCACCTGGAAGGCAGGTCAGCATATGTTTTTTCCCCCCATCTCTGCCTTCTGCGGTTTCACTGGGACCAATGTGGACGTGTAGATCCTTCACTCACCAGAACTGGAGCAGGAACCGGAGAGGAGCTTCCTTTAATGAGCCAGTCCTCGTAGCGCTGATGGATGGACTCCAGATACTCCTGGCAGACAAACACAGAGGAACCTGATGAGGCAGCAGAACATGAACAGCGCCGTCTCTGAAAATAACCTCGACTTCTCACCAGAGGAATGACCTTCTCCTCCTCTCTGCACCTCTGCTTCAGCCTCTCATAGCAGGTGAGAGGAGACGTCTGCAAGTAAACTGGAGCCAGAGGAGAAGAACATGACTCAGAACAGACTGGAACCAAATGCAGACTGAAGGCAACCTGGCTTTTTTGGAATCTAAAGAAATTATTTTTAAAACTAAACTAGAGGAAACCCCTAAAATTAAAAGACTGACCTGTTTCAGTTAGCAAATAGAAGCCTGGTTTCTACCAATCACAACTAAAAGGGTTTTAGTTTTCAAACTGGAGGCTCTTACCGATCAGGTCAACTGGGAGGGAAACGTTAGCGGTGATCCAATCAAACCACTCGCTCAGAACAGCATAGTCCACCTCCGGCATTTTCCCACTGAAATACAGAACCATGTTAGAACTAACTGACTGTTTATGGTCATTTGGGGTCAGTTCTAGATTTTAGGTTCAGACAAAAACAAGAGAACCTCTGAAAGAGATTGTCCACAAAGATGTGCTTGGCGCTGAAGATGGACCTCTCCATCATCATGACAGGAGCAGCCTGAAACCAGAGAGAACCATCAGACCTCCTGGAGGGGGGTTAGTCCTCATGTCAGGGTGTCCTCCTAGATCAGCTGCACTCACAGAGGCTGACAGGTGTCTGTCCAGCATGGTGAGCTGAACATAGGTCTGCAGAGTGATAGCCCAGCGCTGTGGATCCTGGTACATCAGGGCCTGCAGAGGACAACAGGGAAGGCGGTCAGCTCAAGGAAACCGGACCGTATGAGAGATAAACGATGGAGAGTCATCTGTTCCAGTTACTGAAAACAAACGGGTTTCAAAAATAGAACCTATCAATAAAAAACAATCTGAGTAATTATAGAAAACCAAACTTTAATACAAACTTTAATAATATTGGTTAAACTTTTGCATAAATTGGGATTACTTTTTTTAATGCATTTTCTTCCAATTTACTTTATAAAAACAGGCCGCGCAGTGGTGCAATGGGTAGCACTGCTGCCTTGCAGCAAGAAGGTTCCGGATTTGATTGCCGGCCCTTTCTACATGGGGTTTGCATATTCTCCCTGGGCATTCATGGGTTCTCTCTGGGTACCCCGGCTTCCTCCCTCAGGTGTACCCCGCCTCTCGCCCGTATACAGCCGGAGATAGGCACCAGCAGGGCTAAAGCGTGACAGAAAATGGATGGATGGATTGAATTTTTTCTCTCTGCTCTCAGTAATGTTGAATCAAATGACTCCTCCAACCATGTAGGTCTATATTAGGCAGATTTATCTTCCTTTCAGAATCAATGTCCTTGGCTAAATTAAAGCAGTTACAATGTGGACCTAACAGGCTTCCATACCACATGCTGAGACCAGGACCAGTTGGTTAAATTTGTTTTTCTCTTTAAATAACCTAACAGCATTGACGGATGATGCCGTTAATTACCAGAGGATTGTTTCCACGGACGTCCCTCCATTTGGAGACCGGTTCCGTCTGGACCTGGAACAAAGCAGGAAGTGTTTAGCAGTAAATTAACCGGCTCAGATCCACGGGACTTCCAGGTACCTCTATGTTGCTGGTTCTGTTGAAATATTCCAAACATGTCGTTTTTCCACAGGCGATGTTCCCCTCCACACAGATCTGGAATCAGTGGACAGAGACACGCGTGTCAGCACCACGCTGGGAAGAACAAACACGCAGAGCATCAGTCAGCGTGGGAGGATGCTCACCACAGTCTTTCTGCTGTCTCCATTCCGCACCAACTTCCCTTGAAAGGAAGACAACATAGTGAGACAGACTCTCCGCTCCTGGTCTCAGTTAGCTAAGCTAGTGACGGAAAGCAGCAGGGGCCATGTCCGACCTCCTTTCGTAAGCGGGTCTAACATCAGAGCAGCAGAGGAGAAAGGTCCGACTGTTTAAGGCTCAGCTAGCCCCCACTGGTTACCTGCTGGAACCGCCTTAATCCGGCTAGAAGGTCCCGTCCGGATCCCTCTGGTACCTCCTGTCCGAACTGACTGAAGTACGTGAGGAAGAGCTGACCTGAGGCTGAGCGAGAACCGAGCAGGGGCCGCTGTCATCTTCCATAACATCCACCGCATCCCCACCACTTCCGCCGCGCTTCTTCTTCTTCTTTTCAATTATGGCGGATCACTAGCAACTTTAAGGTGCACACCGCCACCTACTGTACATGACTGTGCAGCAACATTACTTTACATCAAATTCTAGTTTTTTAATTTCGTATTCTGTTGCTGGATTCATAATGTTTTCTTAAACTGTAAATATCCTTTATATTTTCTTCATACCACTGCCCTTCTTCTTCTGTCTGAGACCGACATCCATGGATATACTGCCACCTGCTGTTCAGTGCTGGTAACATCTCTTTCTTTCTTTCTTTCTTTCTTTCTAAACGAGGAAAACTAAAATATGTAGTTATTTTTCCTTTTTCAGATTATTTTTTTTAAATCATGTGCCCCACTGTTTTATTCCTCATAGAAATCATCAACCTGGCAGTCAGATGGAAACGAGCCTTCATTACTAAAGGCTGACTGATAGGAATGTTGGTAAACAATAATGAGCTGATGTCTGATGAGATGAGAATCCTGTTGCTGTGTTCCTGTAGTTGCACTACTAGACCAACCAGAAGGGGGCGGTAGAGCGGCTAACTGACAGAAGTACGTGTTGAACAGCGCATGCTCAGTACAGCACATGCGGAGAGCAAACTACACTGAGCCGCCTTCCTGACCAGGGTGGGCAAAGAGCAAAGATTATCAGTCAGTGTGGATCAGAACCGCAGGAATGGATCTAGGAACTGAAGGAAAACTGCAGCTGGTCCAGAAACACATTCGAGCTTTCCCAGACTTTCCAAAGAAAGGCATCCTGTTCAGGTAGGTCCTGTCCCCGGGTCCACTTGGAATTTATTCCCTATTAATGGTTCTGATCGGGCCCAGAAAGGTCAGGTTGATGAAGCATAGGTCCAGGTGTCATGCAGGTGGACCCTCACTCACTACAGGGGGTCCTGGCTGCTCCCTGGGTTCAGTTTATCTCGGCTAAAGCTGAAGAACTGAGATAGTCCTGGACCAGTCCTGCTGCTGCTGACTCTGCTTCCTGCCAGAACAGGAAGACTGAAGCTGCTGGAGGTCATTCCAGTTCCTACTCTGCAGCATTTCAGCATTTTAACAGATTAGGAACTGAATGGTGCGGCATGCATTTACATTTCTCTCCACTGTCTTCTACCCTCTACAAACAAATGTTTATGTTATTTATTTTTCTAAGCAAAGAAGTTCAGGATGAACTAGTTTCATCTCATTACCTTTAACCCCCGTATGAGAGAGCCATTCCCCCAGCATGATTCTGCCACTATTGTGTTTTAAGATGGGGCTTTACAGAAACCAGATAAATGTTAATGGTTCCAAAGTGAGAGCATCAGGCAGAGTTTTAAAGCTCTTAGAATGAAAATTACTTGTTCTTTTTTTTTTTTTTTTGTCATTCTGTCTGCTAACCTGTGCTGATGCTGCAGAGATATCTGTCCCATCCTGAAGAGTCCGGCTGCTCTTACAGCCGTCACCGACCTGTTTGAGGAACATGTGAGGAATCATTACCAGCAGGTGGATCTGATCATAGGTAATTCTGAGCTAAGCAGGTCTTCACTCCTCAGCCTGAGCTTGTGGTCCATACACAGAGGGGACATCTGGAAGCATCTGTACAAAAATTAAAAATGTAAAAAAAAAAAAGTAAAATCTGTACAATTCAGAGGCCTTTAGCAGGAAGCAGGATTACTGGGTTAGCCTGATAACTTCAGGTTTAACCATGACTTCCTGGTACCACAAAGCTGTGTTTATTCTTAGGAGGCTGGTCACCATGGTAACTCTGACCAGTAGACTCTCAGCTGTTTGGACACAATGAAGCTTCCTTTAACCGAAGGCTCGATTTAATTCAGAAGAAAAAACAACATCACAATAAAAGAACTTAAAATGATGTGGTGTTTAAAAAAGTATTAATGAAAAATTTAATAGTTTTGAATTTAGTTGTAATTTTTCCTCCTTTTTTTACTATTCTCTTTGTCTTTCCTTCTGTATAATGTCCTTATCCACCGCTGGTTTCTGGTATAATTGTTATATGAAGCTAATTTTCTAAAAGTAAAGCTTAGTCAGATCCTTTGGATATGACTCTATGAGCGAGTCTGTGACTGTATTATGCAACAGGAAGCTCCATGGGCACCGTCTGGGATGCTAAGTGGTCTGTCCAGATGTCCATCAAATGTTCAGTGATGCAGTTGATGAATGAATCCATCATCTTCTGACCACCTGCATGTTCAGCATATAAAAGAGGGATTTTATACCTGGAATTCTGTGAAATTTCTAATTTACAGCATTATTAAAATCAGGCTGTTAAATAAACAAGTTGACAAAAATACAGCAGGTGAAACAAGCATTGAATATGTCATAATTTTTCTCAGTAAATATATTTCAAAAGGTGCTACTGACATTTTCAGCAGATGTTGGTAGCGATCCATGCAACATTCACACATACTAAGAAATCAAATCACAGATGTCCAGAAATTAGCTTATGTGTAATAAACTACAGGGGAAAAGTATTGAACACGTGAAGAAATCTTGTCTTATGTGTCGTTTGTCCTCAGGTCTGGATGCCCGTGGTTTCCTGTTTGGACCTCTGCTGGCCCAGAGACTGGGTGTCGGGTTTGTTCTGGTCCGTAAGAAAGGCAAGCTGCCAGGAACCACCATCTGTGTGGCCTACGACCTGGAGTACGGCACGGTAAGGGCAGCCCACATCCAAGCTCTGTCCACAGTCTCGCCTTGTTTCACTGCTGGGCTCACATAGAGATAGACAGATAGATCTGCTGGTGGATATCTGTGGCCCATATGTCCGCCAGTCCATGTCCGCCAGTCCGTTGCAGGGAGACACAGACATACAACCACTCAGACTCCAATCAACATGCAGGGGAGAACATGCAAACTCCACAGGGAATGGTCCAGGTTTCCCCGGGATTCAAACCCACAATCCTCTTGCTGCGAGGCGATGGTGATTATCAGCCGCTGTCCGCATGCATCCACAGGTTTATTAGCGCAGTCAGCAGCCATGGATCGACGCGTTGCCGTCCCTCTATTTTACTTTCATTAATCATTTATTGGTGCTTGTTTTTTGTTTTTTGTTTTTTTAAACTAGCTCAAGTTTTTTATGATTGTGTGAAATTTAGTAATGTGAACAGAGAGAAGGAAAAAGCAGAAATCGGCAGCAGATATCAGGGATCGATCAGGTGACTGCTTGTTAGAGTTGGACCTCAGTTCCTTTGCTGTTCATTAGTTAATACTGGATGTCAGCTTCAAGGACAAATTTGGCTCTGATCCAGTTCAGTTTATCTTGGTTGAAGTTGTGACATCACGCTGGTTACCAGTGACAACACAGAGGTTCCTTTGATCCAACCAGAGAAGGAGAGACGAACTCTGTCTACTAGAGAGGGAGGACCAGGTGTTAATCTGGACGAGTATCTCTGCAGATCTGAGCTCGTGTTTCTGTTCCCCCAGGCAGAGGTAGAGATCCAGGAGGATGCCGTGGCTCCGGGACAGAAGGTTCTGATAATTGATGATCTTTTAGCCACAGGAGGTAAGAAGCCATGTTTTCTGTTGTCATTCTGACAGGATCCATCACCAGGATCTGATGCAGAGTGAATTAGCTTTGATGTTTCTCTGAAATAAAAACAGAAGCAAACTGAATCATTTCCAGCTCTAGATTAAAGTAACGTTTATATTGTATATGCTGTCACTAACATCTCATTGGTTGCAGATTGAAGGATAAACTCCTACATGTTAAACTTAAATTATGAGGCATTTAATCCAGGGTGACCAGACGTCGCTGATTTCTCGGGGAAAGTCCCCGTTTAAAATAATATAAATATTAATTAGCATTTTTAGTATTTAATCAGATGAGATAATAATAATAATAATAATAATAATATTTGATTATTATTATTATTAATTCTAATGTATTTGGAAGTATTTTGAGGAATGTCTCTGTTTTAGAATAGTTTAGACCGGAGGTCTTCAACAGGGGGTCTGCGACCCCTAGGGGTCCATGGAGGTACTACATGCGGGTCGCAAATGTTTTGGTTGATTAGACATTTTTTTTTTATATTCCCCCCTGCTATTTTTTCCAATAATTGAAATGTATTTAAATACATATAAACCTGAATTTAACTCACTGCAATAAACAGATAAATGGAGGCAGAAGATGTCTTTCAGTCATCAATGCACACATTAAGCGACACAGGAGCTCTTTCAAGCTGGACACCGTTTCATTCACAACACCTGTCCCATCAACCAGGAATCAGAGTCAGAGATACTTTAATATACCCAGGGAGAAATTACTTTAGTTACATTACTCCATCTGTATTGGAGGGATTATAGGACCAGTTTGGTATAACACTATTTGATACAATATATACAGGTGCTGGTCATAAAATTAGAATATCATGAAAAAGTAGATTGATTTCAGTAATTCCATTTAAAAAGTGAAACTTGTATATTATATTCATACATTACATACAAACTCATATATTTCAGATGTTTATTTTGTTTAATTTTGATGATTACAAATGACAACAAATGAAAATCTCAAATTCATCATATCAGAAAATTAGAATATTACTGAAGACCAATAAAAACAAAGGATTTATAGAAATGTTGGCCAACTGAAAAGTATGAACATGAAAAGTATGAGCATGTACAGCACTCAGTATTTAGTTGGGCCTCCTTTGGCCTGTATTACTGCAGCAATGCGGCGTGGCATGGAGTCGATCAGTCTGTGGCACTGCTCAGGTGTTATGATAGCCCAGGTTGCTCTAATAGTGGCTTTTAGCTCTTCTGAATTGTTGGGTCTGGTGTATTGCATCTTCTTCTTCACAATACCCCATAGATTTTCTATGGGGTTAAGGTCAGGAGAGTTTGCTGGCCAATTAAGAACAGGGATACCATGGTCCTTCAACCAGGTACTGGTAGCTTTGGCACTGTGTGCAGGTGCCAAGTCCTGTTGGAAAATGAAATCTGCATCTCCAAAAAGTTGGTCAGCTGCAGGAAGCATGAAGTGCTCTAAAACTTCCTGGTATGTGGCTGCGTTGACCCTGGACCTCAGAAAACACAATGGACCAACACCAGCAGATGACATGGCACCCCAAACCATCACTGACTGTGGAAACTTTACACTGGACTTCAAGCAACGTGGATGAAGTGCCTCTCTTCTTTTCCTCCAGACTCTGGGACCTTGATTTCCAAAGGAAATGCAAAATTTACTTTCATCAGAGAACATGACTTTGGACCACTCACCAGCAGTCCAGTCCTGTTTCTCTTTAGCCCAGGCAAGACGCTTCTGACGCTGTCTGTGGTTCAAGAGTGGCTTGACACAAGGAATGCGACAGCAGAAACCCATGTCTTTCATACGTCTGTGTGTGGTGGTTCTTGAAGCACTCACTCCAGCTGCAGTCCACTCTTTGTGAATCTCCCCCACATTTTTGAAGGGGTTTTGTTTCACAATCCTCTCCAGGGTGCGGTTATCTCTCTTGCTTGTACACTTTTTTCGACCACATCTTTTCCTTCCCTTCGCCTCTCTATTAATGTGCTTGGACACTGAGCTCTGTGAACAGCCAGCCTCTTTAGCGATGACCTTTTGTGTCTTGCCCTCCTTGTGCAAGGTGTCGATGGTCGTCTTTTGGACAACTGTCAAGTCAGCAGTCTTCCCCATGATTGTGTAGCCTATAGAACTAGACTGAAAGACCATTTAAAGGCTTTTGCAGGTGGTTTGAGTTAATTAGCTGATTAGAGTGTGGCGCCAGGGGCCATCAATTTTGAACCTTTTCACAATATTCTAATTTTCTGATATGATGAATTTGAGATTTTCATTTGTTGTCATTTGTAATCATCAAAATTAAACAAAATAAACATCTGAAATATATGAGTTTGTATGTAATGTATGAATATAATATACAAGTTTCACTTTTTAAATGGAATTACTGAAATCAATCTACTTTTTCATGATATTCTAATTTTATGACCAGCACCTGTATAATTAGGGGGTCCCGCTCCATCTCACCATCAGTTTGGGGGTCCTTGGCCTGGAAAACATTGAAGACCCCTGATTTAAACTGATAGAAGAAGAGAGAGCATGAATGGACCAGATGTTTTTCTTTTCCTCATGTCGTGTTTAGGAATCTGGTGAACTTAATTTAGTCGTCTCCTCCTCATCACACAGAGAAAAACAGAAACCGTATAAAAGAAGGTGCTTTTAAAACGATGTGTTGAAGTCGGTACTAAAGGTTTTGTGCTTTTTTTTTTCTTTTTTTTTAGAGTTGAACTTTTAAAAATGATATCTGTGTATATAAATCAAATGAATGAAGATTCTGAATCTTCTTCATTTAAACGGAGGCTACCAATCCTGAATGGAGGTGCCACGTTCTGGTCTCATTGGGGCTCCAGTGGGTGGAGACTTCTGACTGTGGGTGCAATGCTTCAGTTTTTCAGTGATTCAGCATCTCACCCTGTTCATCTGGATAGACCAGGGGTGTCAAACTGGTTCCAGAAAGGGCCGTGTGGCTGCAGGTTTTCTTTCCAACCAAACAATAGCACACCAGACTCCAGTCATCTAATAAAGTCATCATGTTCAGATTGGACTCACTTGATGAGATGGCTGGAGTCTGCTGTGCCATAGCTTGGTAGGAAAGAAAACCTGCAGCCACACGGCCCTTTCTGGAACCGGTTTGACACTCCTGGGATAGACGAAGCTTTGATGGTTAATGGAGTACCGGGGGGAAGTCGATCTGAAAGGATGGTTTCTTTCTGCTACTGATGTGTGTTTAGACCAGGGGTGGCCCTGAGGGCTGGTATCCTGCAACTTTTACATGCGTCTTTGGTTCAAAACACCTGACTCAAATAACTAGATGATTGAGAGGACTCTGGAGGAGCTGACTGCATACTGAGGATGTTCCACTTCCACTCCTCCGCACGTCATTGTCCATGTACGTCTTCGCCGTCCGTCAATAAACGGAGCTGAGTTATTTTTTTTGCTCCGGTCCGGCCAGGTCAAGATCCACTATTGCAATCTCGCCAAACAGGAAGAAGAATGTCAAGAAGATCCGGTTTGTCAAATTAAAATATTGTAACGATGGATCGGTAACTACAAATTAGAAGATAATTCTTATAAATTCCCAATAACTAAAGCTGTTTAAATGATTGGACTCAAACTATTGGTAATTCAACATACCAGGAAGCAGGTTTCTCATCTCCATCAAAATATATATTTTATACAGAGAGCCTTAAAAGAAACCTCTTATTGCAGGAATGGATGAAGAGATGCTGAGTTTGGCAGTAAAGAACAAGGATAGTTCATAAACTATTTTCTATGATCCTTGTTATCCCTGTTACAAAAATCCACAACAAGAAGAAAATCTTTGATCAGAAACCGCACATATGCTGGATGCTGATGGGGATTTTTTAAATATGTCATAATAAATTAAGCGTTCATTTCCGCATGTTTTGTTCCTATTAATTTAATGATAATAAAGTCGTGCATGCTCTCCTTGAGGAAGTGGGAGCAGAGCAAGATGGGATGAACAGTGCAGGCGGTCTGGTGTGGGTCGGACCAAAAGATGTGGGATTTCAGGGTTACTCAGCCATTTGATTCAGGTGTGTTGGACCAAGAACAGATCTAAAAGTTGCAGGATGCCGGCCCCCAGGAACTGGAATTGCCAACCCCTGGTGTATACCATTGTCCTGCTGGAGGGCCAAGCCACCTTCCATCTTCAATGCTCTCATTGATGGAAGGAGGTTGGGGCTTAAAACCTGGCCCTTTTTTATGCTTCCCTTCACGTGGAATAATCATGTCGCCTTTGCAAAAACCTCAAAATCATTTTGAACCCGCAGGCTGAGATCTTGGGGCCCCAGATGATTTCTTCACACCTGCTTCCTGTTGTAGATCCTCTCCTCCCAGCCTGGAGCAGGTTTACAGTTTTCTCCCTGGTTTCCTCAGCAGCTCGTTGGGCTTTGCCCTGGTTGAGTTTGGAGTCTGTATGAGGCAGGTATCTTTTATAGAGATGAGCAGTTCAAATGGGACACAGAGAACCAGAGGAGGAAGAAGAGCTTCTTAAAGAAAAAGTTACGATCTGTGAGAGATAAACATCTAAATAAATACTTATTTTTTTCACTATAATTGACAAATAAACTCCTACAATGTGATTTCCTGCAGACCGGCTGTAGGAGAGTGAGTGTCCAGAATGTGTGGGGTCTGCTGACATGTTAGCAGCTCCTTTGGGAAGTCCTGCTTTAGAAAGTTCTCGATAACGTCAGCAGCAGACGCCTGGTATGTCTCCTGCTGATGTCCTCTGCTGTGTGTTGCAGGGACGCTGTACGCAGCCTGTGAGCTGATGAAGAAGCAGCAGGCTGAGGTTCTGGGCTGCATGGTGGTCATCCAGCTCAAAGACCTGAATGGAGCCGACCGTCTGAAGCCACACAGCGTCTTCTCCCTCCTTCAGTACTGAGGAGCGCAGCGGGAGCTGGTGCGCCTCCCAGGCGCTGAAGCACAGAGCCTTAGAGATCAAATCAAAGTATTATGAGGACATTTAAGATGGAGCTTCTGTCCGGCCCAACGTGGCCAGACAAATGGACACTGATTCACCCTGATTGATCATTGCCTGCAGCTGGAACCAGGAGTAAATAAACTCATCCATTTATTGGAGATCAGATCCTCCTTATCTGCCTGTTATGAATCCAGCAGCAGAAGGAAACATTTTATCTCTGCAATGAGGAACGACTTGATTTCAGTTCCTTCTCATTCAACATTACAGAGCAGTTCTGTCTTATTTCAGCCCTGCAACAATTCATTGTTAAATAAATTCAGATTTTGTTTTATCCGATTAAACTTGTAATATTGTTTTTGTAGATCTAGTGGTGCTCCATCCATTTTGACCAAATGTCATTTTCTAAGTCTTAAAATAATCTCTTCAAATTTGCCTTCAGCTTTCAGGTCCTGAGACTTGACATCAAACTAATGAACCGTTAAACTAAAGACTGGTTTGAAACCATTTTTTTTGTTTTTACGGCACTAGTGGCTCGTTTTTGGACCACAGGCTGGATTCGACACAGGGTCGGCCGCCTCGAGGACTAAGACCTCCGTACATGGGTCATGCACACTAACCACTGCACCACCTGCACGCCCTTGAATCAGTTTTTAACGCATATGTCATTAATCTTTCAAATGAACTTAGATTCATCTTATTCCAGTTATGTGCTGGTAGCACTCAGCTGAACCGACCATCTGCAGGATGCTCGTTAGCCAGCGAGTGTTTAATGGAGGAAAGGCCAGTTAGTCTGTTTATCCAAAGACATCAATGTGGAAAGAAAAACTAGTTGGATTTCTAGAATATTGAATTTGTTCCACTGATAGTTTCTAACAGCCAATTTCTAATCAGGATTCCAGGTAAAGTTGATCCATTAAACCCAGAAATTCAGCAAATGAAAAACAGTAAAAAGGATTTTAATATAAAAACGATCCAATTAGAGCAAAGGCTGCTGAACCAACAGCCGTCTGCCTCACAGTGTCTTCATCTGCCGCTGGTTATTTAGAGTTCTGCACCAAACATCACCACTAAGTGTCAGATTTTAGCATTTGTTCACAGTTGAGTTGTAATGAACTCAAAACGAAAGAAAAATTAACAATTTTCAATAAGAGTTTCACCTTTTAATCAGAAAGAATTCATCTTTCTAATGTATAACAGTGTATGGAGAGAAATGTGCACCATTATTTTTAAAGCAAACAAAACATTTGAAACGTATGTTACAACCTTCAAGAACAGAAAGTTTTATTTGTAAAGTTACATTTAAATAAAACTTTTATACAGTTTGCCATTTTTTTCAGTATTTTTCTGCAAATATTTCCAGATTTAATTTTTTTTAGTTATAACAGACTATCTGGACGATTGTGTTTTATAAGATGTTATTCTCAGATCCTGATTTAACCTTCTACAGTCCTGTTATATTTTACATTTTTTTGCGTTTTGCCAATTTTATTCTTTTTAAATCCGTACAGATTTCCTTCTCTACACTTGTGGTTGGTCTTTGCATGAACCATTAGAAATGAGTCTGCTCTGCGTCGCTGTTAGCAACAGCATTTCTATTGGTCCGCACACAGACAACCCAGAATCTTACAATCTGGAAAAAGTTTAGAGAAAAAAAAGAAAAAAGTTAAAAATATGCAGAAAAAAAATTGGAAAATAAAATCTGAAAAAAATAGTAAACCTTAAAAATATTGGTTTAACATTTGCAAAAACATTACAGACTAATCTAACAATTGTTTTTAGTCTTGAGAAGTTTCCACAGGCTGTGGTGCCGCATCATCTGAACCAATCAGGCGAGAGGAAGTCCCTCAGAGCGCAGTCAGTGGAAAACAGTCAGCAAAACATGACTCCTTCAGTTGAGAAAAAACGCCAAAATCTGGTTAAAAATCTTTTCCAACACAGAACCGGAGGACCAGACGTTCATCCTCTCCTCGTGTCCGCTCTGAACATGGAGGGAAGGTGTCAGAGCTTCTCCTCCTCTTTCAGTCTGCGGTTGAGTTTGTCCAGAACGATGCTGAGCTCCTCGCTTTTGTTCAGTTTCAGGTAGAAGTCCTTCCTGACCAGATGAACGCTCAGCCAATCAGGAGCCACCTCTGCCAGCAGACGGACATGTTTCTCCATGTCTCCTTGGGTAGAAAAGAGAGGACAGTGAACGGTTCTGTTCCGGTCGCTGAACATCACATCATGGTGCATCTAAATACTGCAGCTAAGCTCTGAGCTGCGCTGAAGTATTCACACCCTTCGATCATTGTGACAGAGGCTCTAAAAATGGCTGACAGTAGGGGTGTGAATACCGCGAGGCGGCTTGGAGCGTCTGCAGACTGAACTGACCTGGACTCAGAGCCGACCTGTAGCTGGCCACCATGCGGTTACACGCCACCTCCATGGTCAGCGCCGCTTTCTTCTCTGAAACAAAGACGTTTCGAAGGATGCGGGCCAGCTCCCCGAGCCGTGACATCATCAGCAGCCGCTCCTCCTGCGCCGGGTTCCGGGTCATAGCCGCCTGCAGCTTCTGGACCTCTTTCGCCCGAATCTGTTGGAAGGAAAGGAAACGGAAAGTAAAACCCAGAACCGAGGCTGCTGGACGCTCCGAGGCAGACGGTACCGACCCGGTCCAGCAGGCTCTGGGACACCCCCTTCAGGGCAGACGGGACCTGGGCTGCAGCAGAGGCTGGTGTTGCTGGAACCGTTGGGTTCTGGGTGCAGCCCGGTTTGGTACCTTCTCCATTCTTTTCTTCTGCTTTTCGGGCCACAGAAACCAGAGCCTTCTCCATCTGAGCACAAGAGAAAATCAGTGGTTTTGTTCAGAGCCAAGGGATGGGAGGGGAGGAAGTTCCTGTCTATCTGAAACCATGGCACCGCACCTTAGGGGTGATGAGGGATCGGGCCTTTTCCAGAACCTCCTGAGCCGTCGACACCTTCTCTGAGCGAGGAGCCTGAGGCAGGGAGCTGGCCGTGATGGCGGCGACGGAGTCTACGTTAAAGCGAGGGTGCCAGCGGGTCAGTTTGTCCTCTGGAACTGAGACAGCCGGAACCAGAGAGGACAGGAAGGCCTGTGGAGGAGATCCAGAACACATGAACCCTGAAGCTCAGGATGGAGCCTAAAGAACTGAGACCAGACAGAAGCAGCTCACCCTGTGATGCTGTTTGACGATGGAGACCAGGTTCTGATGAAAGATCTGCCTTCTCTCCAGGAGACGGGCGGCGGATAGTGCGGGCCGCGCTTCGTTTTGGTCTGAGGACAAACGGAGAGATCAGCAGTTAGGACAGACGCCGTGGCGCACCTCACGTCTCAGGTATCCTCTGACATGGGAGCTGGCTTTTTACTGCTGCTTTTTGTATCTCTGCTTCTGTCTCATGAACCCCAGTCAGCCTCAGCAGATGGCCGCTCACACTGAGCCTGGTTCTGCTGGAGGTTTCTTCCTGTTAAGAGGGAGTTTTTCCTCCCCACTTTCGCTACAAGCATGTTTAGTGTGAGTGATTGCTGAAGAGTCAATGAAATTAACTGGTTTTCCTTAGATAGAAAACCTTTAATCAGTCTGACTGGATGATCTAGTGAACTGTAAAGTGCCTTGAGGTGACGTGTTGTGAAATGAAGCTATAGAAATAAACTGAATTGAGGTAGTGGACAAGAACTGATCTGGTTTACGCACTGAGAAATCACACTTTGTTCCCCGTTCTAGTGAAAATTTAACAGATGAAAAAACACTGGTGCCAAACGTGTTGCCAACTTGGCGCGTTTGTCACCAAATATAAAGCCATTTTTTCAGTGTCAAGAGACTTGGGCGACAAAAGCATTGAATTGTACTTTTCCTGAGTTATGCCCTTTCTGGTTGGAAGACTGCAAAAATTAACCATGAAATAATTTTAAACTGACAGTAAAAAGCTGTTGATCTACAGCCTACAAATTAGACGATGACATCATCTAGCGCAGAGGTCATGGATTAGCAGACCGTTACAGTTGATGAAGCAGACTGATGAAGTTTTGTCAATCTCTATCTTGTCTTTTTTTTATTCACCTTTTCTCCCTTTATTTGTATTTTCCACAATAAAACTACATCCACAGATAAAGCAGATGACTATAGTAAAATCTGCTGAGCTCTCTCTGGAATTAAGACAAAAATTCCCATTGCAACTTTACCAGAAGGAGGAAAAAGATGTTAATAAAAACTTAGAGGTCACTAAAGCTCGTTGATCTTTAGTGACCTCACTTTTTCCTTTTAAATTAAACTAAACTGGTGTTAATCAGTTTGGCATTTCTTTAGCAAAAATAAGTTTATTTGCTTTTGTTTTAAGGTTATTAAAGACTGTTGAAAGGTCTAAAGGAGTAAGAAGCACATGTAGTAAAGAGGTTTCTTGAAGGAAGCCCAGTAGAACCGGAGCCTGAATGTTGCTGCTCTGTTTGGACTCACCGGAGCGGAGGAGCGGTTCCACCGTCAGCTGGTAGCTCCCCTTAGAGATGTTGCTGTTGAAAGTGGGAACGTTCTTCTCCTGCTTGAATTCGTACGCTTCAGGGAACACAGTCTTTATCTGACCCACGTGGCTCTCCTCAAACCTCCTGGAATAAAAACAGACAAACCTTTAGTAGGGGGGTTTAGTCACCATGTGAACCGGGCCAAACTGTTACCTACTTGTGCATCATGTCCTGAACGCCCTGCTTGATTTTGGTGAAGGTGGCCGTCTCAGAGCGGTTGTACAACATGGCGACCACCGTGTCCATGTTCCGGAACATCTCGGCCAGTGTCTTGTAGTGGTAAGGCAGGGTCAGGCCAGGGGGCACGGCCTGTGCGAGGGTGTGGTACCGCTGGTACCCTGGTAGCCCGGTTCTGCTTAGAGAAACAAGGGAGGGTTTTAGTAGCGGGTCAGGAGCACCGTGTCCGTTTGTGGACTGCACGGACTCACCCTTCAGGAGTTTGGGTCTCGGTCGGCTTGGCCTCTTCTGCTCCTCTCTCCTCCTTCCTCCTCTGGGCTTTAGCTGCCAGCTCTTTGGCCCGGGCCATGGAGAACCGCAGGGCCTGCAGCTCCGTGCTGGGACCGGATGGAGCCGCATTGATGGAGGTGGTTGGAGATGATGAAGAGGAGGAGTGTGGAGCTGAAGACACAGGGCTGTGGGCGTCCTCGGCCCGTTTCCTGATCGTCTGAAGGCGGGACTTCAATGCAGTGAGGTCCTCCTGACCCAGAACCTGCTAGAGGAGAGGAAGAGGCCGTCAGCACAGAGGCATTCATAACCCCAATTTCTGACAGGAAGAGTCCAGACAAGAAACCTCTGCAGGAAACTTAAGATAAGGGAGATGCTACTGAGTCCACAGTAACGTTATTAACAGTTACTGTGACAGACAGGAAGCAGAAGCTATGCTGGACAGCTGTTTTTAAACCGCAGACATGCGCATCAATAAGTGTGAGGTTAGCCGTCCATCTTTGCTCCACCTCCTCCCACCACTTAGCAGCTCGTTGTTGTCAGTGTCACCACCTGATCCGTCCCGTAAGCGCAACCCGTCCTGCATATGCGCCATCAGCTCATCCATACATCCTGGTCCACTTGATTTTATTTTGTCAAAACCTAAATTACGTTTTTTTCCTCCTCATAATAATGTATAATAATGTATGTCCTGAGAAATGAAACACCTTAAAGTCCTGTTTTATCACTCGACTGTTTCTGATCCCCACGGGAAATGTGATCCTACGCTACTTCCCGTGGCTTTTTCGGCTTTGGATTTAAAAATAAATCTAGCCTTTTAGAGTTTTATGTTTTCGTTTCAACATTATGGCATATAGTGGGTATCACTAAAGGTATAAAACATTTTTTTAAAGATAAGCATTAGCATTCTTTAGTTTACGGATAGAAACTCATCCTTCTTCAACTCATAATCCTTGTATTACATCCAACATTAACCTTTCTGTTTATTTATAGATTGAGATTGAGATGAAATATATCTGTCTAAGCCAATTTGTACATACTGCCTTTCTGGTATTTTACAGTTTACATTAATGGTGACTGAACCACTTTGAGCCACAAGAACATAAAATGTAGGGCACATAATTCACAAGAACAATATAATGAAGTCAGATCTAATCGGTTTTATCTACTGGATCAATTTGGTCCACTTCAGATAAATAACATGTTGCCGTCATTAGAGTGAAAATGACCACAGGTGTATATTGCTTATTTATTCTCCAGGTGACTGAACAGAATTTATATTTGTAAAAACACAGTAAAATACTTTTTATATTTGAAAAAAAAAAAATATATATATATATATATTTATTTATTTAATAATATTTGTTTTATTTTTAACTCTGCCACTCATTTTTGTATTTTCTTAAATACAGTTTCCTAGAAGAACAATAAATAACCAAAATATATATTTTTGACAGAACAGATATAATAAAAATGTATAATCTATAATAAAAAAAAACTGACAAACTATTGGTTGAACCTTTGTTCAAACATAAATTAGCCCCCAAAATGTGTCAAATCTCCATTTTTTAAAACGTCTTTGCTTCTACCAATATTGTCCCTAATGTCGCTCCGTAGAGGCTGGTTCCCTTTAGCAGAACAAACACCGGAGCAGGTTTGGTTCATGTTGAGATCTCAGCTGCTGCTCCTGCTTACCTGGGGCTTCTCCTCAGGTAGGACCAGCTTCTTCCTAGCTGTCCTCCTCCTGGTTGTTGTTGTTTTCTCGTTGGACTCGGCCGCTATGACCCCTCCTGCTTGCCGTCTCTTTTTGACCGAGGAATGCTCTGCGGTCACTGAAAACACAGCAGCCCCGAGATCAAACTCTGCGTCGGCCGAGTTCCTCTTGGGGGTCCGAGGCCTGGATGGCTCCTTCTGGTCTCGTTTGGTAGAGACGGACTCCTCGGTTTTACTCAGCCCGGCTGCTTCATCGATGACCCGGACAAACTCCTCGTGCACCGGAGAGGAGAACCGCGCCGCGGGGCGCTGCTTCCCGACGGGCTTCGCTGCACCGCGGACTCCGTTCTTCCGCTGGGAGAAATAATCTGTTACCCGAGCCTGAGCCATGCTGCTGCAGGATCAGAACCAAACACCGCTGGGTCGGAAACAGAACTATATAAACAGCAGCACTCCGGATGTAGTCACGCTCAGTGGGACGGAAGAGAATTTTCGCGCGAAATCATCAAAGCCACACCCCCATCCAGGCCGCGCATGCGCAGACCAGGCTTACTGACACGGCACCTATAGTACTTTAAGACAATAAATAAACCTTAATAAATAATTAGATAAGTTAAAATGTCATAAAATAAAATGTGAAATAAATTATATTTCTTCCATAAAATCATAAAATAGAGCTTTCTGAGACGAACTGACTCTGTAAAAAAAAAAAAAAATATATATATATATATATATATATTTAACCCTTTCATGCATAGTGGTCACTACAGTGGACAGTTATTAAATGGTTGTTTTCTCTTAAATGAGCATGTTTTAATGTCACATTTGCACATATGTTACTACAGTGGACGCTAATGTATCATCCTGCCACTTGTCAAACTGCCACCTACTCGTCAGCCTTTGCAAGTGACTTTTTTTTTTCCACAAAAAAAACAAAATGGCCGACAGAGGAGCAAATGGGTTGTGAGGGAGAGGAATATCTGCTCATTCCTTCTATTCTAGGCGATCCTTGCAGGTAAAAAAAATATGGGGACATCAAGTATCAAGTATAAATTCCAAGAATTGATTCTGTGTTATTAAAAATTTGTAAGTAATGTGTCCACTAAGTTGGACATTATGCAACTCCCTAAAGAAAGCATTTTTTTTTAAATTGATGAAAATGTTTTTTTCATTCATAAAGAGTAATAAAAACACTTGGTAAAAAAATCATAACATATACTATCATAATTCATGCATGAAAGGGATATATATACTTTACAAACATTAAAAAAGTTCTGTATTAGAAATCTAATTACTAGCTATATTAGTTAATAGATGACATTATAGATCAGTTTGAATCAAATAATTTATACGAGCAGATTTAGAGTCAATTTTTTTTTTAAATAATCCAATTAATTAAAAACAGCCTGATCATATAATCAAAGTGGTATCCCATTCAATCCTAATTATAATACAGTCAACTCAGCAGGTTAAGTAACGCCACTTATCAGCCTAAGCGAACCCCGTCAGCTGCATCAAGGCATCTCAGTAAGTATGGGGAGACAGTGGAGAGGAACATGTTCATTTTAAGTAGAATAACGGTTCATCACACCCATTTTCATGGTGTCACAGCAGACTGGGGGCTGAGACGGTCCGGAAGAACCATTATGTCTGGATAATGGAATTAGGACTGCAACTAATGATTAGTTTGCAAATTTAATAATCTTTTGGTTATTTTCCCGATAAAAAATCAGACAGCAAAAAGTTCCTTAAAGGAGATCTTTTACAAAATCAAACCAGATGAAACTAAAGCTTTTCCACTTCAGGAGTTCTGGATAGAGCAGATTGATGGAAGAAAAAGTTTTTTTTTTATCTTAAATGCAAAATGTTTATCTATTTTTTACAGTGTTGTTATAATTCTTGCTCTAAGTGGTTTGCTCTGTCAGCTAAAGGCATGTTTTAGAGTCGATTAATCGATTACTGAATGAGTTGACGATTATTTCAATAATCGAATAATTCCGATTAATTTTGATTAATTGTTTCAGCCCTAAATGGAATCAGATTTATTAAAATTGTTTACATAAGGACCAAAATACAATAAGTAGTTAACTTGTTCTTATTTTCACTTTGAGTTTTCTATTCTTGTTTTTTTAATTGGCAGTATGTAGCCTATATATAATGTTTATGTACAGTACCTTTGCAACCTCTGTTTTCTTTTTTTACACCAAACATAAGATGAACGTCAAGCAATACTTGATTACCCTCATTTGCCATGCTATCTACCCCATAAAGCCTGACATACACTGTGCGATTTTTGGGGCGATTTTCCAGTTGTGCGATATAATGTGCTGCTACCCATATAAAATTATGGCTCCTATGGATTCTATTAATAATCTGTTCTACTTCAATCAATATATCAGATCTAATGTCTAACTGTTTATGTTGCAAACTGATTTGAATGGTCTCACTTTTTCAACTGCTGAAGTAAAGCCAGCATTTTTACTGGATGAAGTACTACCCCATCAATCACCCTTTTTCCTACTTTAACAGTAAATTGTGGCACATTAAATGAAAAACTATCCCTGTCCTGTCAGCTGTGTTTTTTTTTCACTTTATTTTTACTTTTTAGGCCCCGTACACACGAAGACGAACCCTGGCCTAAACGCACAAATTTTTCACCAAACCAGCCTCTCATTCATACGAAGCCGGCGTTTCGGGGGTCTGTAAACAATCTTCTTTACGCTCTAACCGCATTTTTTCTTTTACACGCATGCGTCATAGCATCGCCTCTAAACACGCATGCGTGACACAGTATCACAACAACAATGGCGCCGTTGCTGCTAATGCTACTCACCCTGCTGTCGGGCTTACAACAGAATCTTCTTCTTCTGGAATATCTCCAGGAAGAACAGAGCAATATCGACGACATAGTTCAGCACCTGAATTTGACTGAACCACGAAAATGGACCCGCAGGGCAACCATGTATAAATATTAGTGCGCATGCCCAACATTTCGTCGCTTATTTTTGCTTTGGCACCACAGCGCCACTTACAGGCCTGGCATACATTTTGCAGCGTTTTCATGCATTCGTGTGGACGCTCACATTTATTTTACGTCTCCGTCTTTATGGCAAACGTTTTGGAAAATATCAGTGTTTCGTGTTCGTTTTGACTTCGTGTGGACGGGGCCTTAGACAAGAACAAAGATGAACGGCAGAAGCGAGAACCACCACAGCGAAGCGAAATGGAAAATATGTCCCTGATTCCTAGTATTTTAGGAGTCTTTGAAGTCCTTAATGGAGCTGTCCAAGGTACAAAGAGACAAAGGAAAAGTTTATTTTCAGGGCCGAGATATAGAGGTTCTTTACTGAACATCTGGACCAGTGATCCAAGGTGCAACTATAAGTAAAGTAAACCTCCCACCTATAGCTAACTGATCTAACTGGATTTCATTACATTTAGAGTTTATTATCCACCTCAAATTTTATTTTCACCATCAATTCTAATCACTTTTAATGTTGAATGATAGTTTCTTTGTCCAATGATTCAAAGATAACTGCTCCGTTCACATTAAGAGGCATTTCTTCTATTTCAACATGTAATGCTCCTATTGAAGATGATTGAAAGCATTTAACGTTATCAAAGCCTGGTACTTTATGGATTTAATTTCTGAAGATTTGTTTCTGCTGCTGAATTGTAAACAATAGACCCAAAATAGACTGACGTGATTAACCCAGTAACTCCCGCCATCCTGGGGTTAATGTTTGAACTAATGAACCTGAAGATGGAAGTCTTTAGAACGACTAATCAACAGTAACAACAGCAGCCACTTTATGACCAGAGGAGCATCACTGGAATGATCTGGTTGATTGCTCACTCCTCAGTGTAGAAGGCTGTTAATCACACCTCCTAAGGACATTATACATGATGATGAAAGGAGGTGTGATTAACAGCCTTCTACATTGAGCTGTGTTTTAAATGCTAAATCCTCTACAACCAAACCCTGTTTGACCTTAGGCCTTGTTTCAGCATGTCTGCATGTAAGTATCAACAATAAGGCAGCATGAGTCGCAGCAGAAAACAGCTTTCTGGATCCTCAGAGACTTGGAGGTGAGAAGTTCATCTGGAGAGGAAGGTTCCAAATTGTCCAGCAGGAACCAGAGGACAACCGTCCACTGATCCATGTTTGTCCCACCTGCAGGGGTGGAAAGTATATTTACTCAATTACTGTACTTAATTTTTCAAGTATCTTTACTTTACTTGAGTATTTTTTTTATTTTTCGAGGGGGGCTACTATACCTTTAACTCCATTTCCAGGAAGCTGCTAGTTCCTTGTTCCTTTTGGTTCATCTTAGTTTACAATCCTCAGTTGCTGTTTTTCCTTCCATTATCGCAGAAAGCAGCCCTTAGGACCGAATCTGGACGCCACTGATTTTAGATTTATTTATTCATTTGACAGGGACAGTGTACCTCAATAAACATTCCTGCAAATTCACCAGAATGAACCAAAAAACAATTTTTCATCTGTTGTCCCTTGACAGATCTTAAAATTGTCTACCTAAAAACACAACAGTAAGAAACAGTTATAACTCTTCAAAACTTGTTTAAAAATACAGAATTACTGTTCTCTAGACTACAGAGCTTAGGTTAATAAAGTAGAATAAAACATTCAAATAAAAATAATTACACTATATATATATATATATATATATATATATACATACGCACATATATATACATTTAGAGATTTAATGGTGTTCCACTAATGTGAGAAACTCATAGCAGTTATTATTAGTAGTTTATCATTTCAATAAGGCGTTAGTTGTTGCCATGTGGCCAAGCTGTTCAGTAGGATGAGTCTCAAGCAGAGTTCTAGTTTCTAATAGATTCAACCATAAACCTTTATTCTACAGTGAAAATGTGAGGAGAATCAGTTTGTTTTCAAAAAAGAAAAAAAACAATCAAAGAAGGTTTCCTTTTTTGTGACACTTTTATTCTCAAAATTATATGGAGGTGTACTAATATAAAAAAGTATTTAATTTGCATTTTTATAAACATAAACACTATTAAATACAAGTGCTTTTGAATACTTACCGTAAGTATTTTCAAAAGCGAGTACTTCGGTATACTTTATTTTAAGTAGAGTTTTGACAGAGTAACTTTCCCTTGTAGTTGAGTAAGATTTGACAATGAGTATAAGTACATTTACTAAAGTACTGCTGTTGAGTACCCTGTCCACCATTGCCCCTGTGTATACATGCACTATTGTGATAACTTCCTCCTTTAACCTTCCCTTAACTATTACATTACCTCCCTCTTTCTCTTTTATTAGAATTGCCACGCCTCTCTTTCTCCCCTGTTTATGTGAACTATAATATGTATATTTGTATTCCATTTTTTTTTCATTTTCCTAATTTTTTAAGTGGGTTTCTTGTAAAGAAGCTGAATTAATATGTTCTTTTTTTATTTTCGAATTATGTTTCCTCTCTTTTTTGGGGTGGTCAGATCCTACATA